CCCTCCGCCAGCAGCTCCAGACTACGCGCCAGGAACTGTCCCACGCGCTCTACCAGCATGATGCTGCCTGCCGTGTCATTGCTCGACTCACCAAGGAGGTCACTGCCGCCAGAGAAGGTGACGTGTGGAGTGACATGGGGTGGGGGCTGTGGGGTTCAGGGAGCGGGGAGGTGGGGAGGAGCGAGCAGCGTGTGGCCCAGCAGCAGGTAGTCTTGTTAGCGATTGCCGTGCCGGATGCTGTCTCCTTTCCTCTTCAAGCATGTGTTAAACTCACAGCCTTTCTCTGCCTCTGCAGCTTTGGCGACCCCGAAGCCACAGGCTGGCCTCATCATGCCCCAGGCAGTGCCGTCCTCCCAGCCAAACGTGGCGGTGAGTCCCCGCTGCCCATCTCAGCCCTTTTCCCCTCGGTCCCCTGTTGCCAATTTCCAATCGTTTCCCCTGTGTTCTCCCCTCGGAGTGTAATCAGCCCCCTTTTCTGTCATGTGCAGGGAGCTGGGGAGTCCATGGATCTGGGAGAGCTTGCAGGCATGACCCCCGAGATCATCCAGAAGGTAAAGGGTCTTCTACTGGCACCGCTGCAGCTTTTGGCGCTGGCTGTTCTCCAGCCTTCCACCGTGGGAGCCCCAGTCACTGACTGTCTGTGACCACCCTTTTCTTGTTCTGCAGCTTCAAGACAAGGCTACGGTGCTGACCACGGAGCGCAAGAAGGTAAGCGGCCCTGTTTCACTCCGAAGATGCCACAGTAGCCAGAATGTGCCGTGCCCTGAGAGAGGCCGATGTTTATCTCCGTGCCATTTTCCTTTTGCAGAGAGGCAAGACGGTTCCAGAGGAGCTGGTGAAGCCGGAGGAGCTCAGCAAGTACCGGCAGGTTGCCTCGCATGTGGTGAGTGCCATGATGCGGGCAGGGGCTCAAAGACTCCCCTGTACAGCTGGGCATCTTCTTTGCTGCTTCTCATAGTCAATAAGTGACAGATCTCCTGCTGGGACTCTCTGTGCCGCAGCCAGCAGGGACCTGTGCTGGAGTAGGTTGTGGCACAGGTTCCCACTGTCAGAACGAAACACCCCTGAGCTCCCTCAGGGGCCTCTCAGTTCCCTTTGGGGGCGTTTTCTTGCTTGCGGCATTAATCTGGCATCCTCCTACCTCGCACAGGGGCTGCACAGCGCTAGCATCCCAGGGATCCTTGCCTTGGACCTTTGTCCTTCTGATACCAACAAGATCCTCACCGGTAAGGGAGCCAGCTCTGCTTGCTGGGAACTGCGTGGTGGTAGCTACGAGCCTGCGGCTGCCTGGGAGCAGGTCCCTTTCTCTGGGCTTTTAGGGGATAGAGGTGGGGCAAGGGACATGAGGGATTCTCTTGGGTCATGGCAAAGGTTCTCAGGATGATGGCCTCCAGGAAAGGCAGGTGGACTTGGACTTGGTTGGCCACAGACTCCGGTTTCTCACCGCTCCCTGCTTTGATTTCTAGGCGGGGCTGATAAAAACGTCATCGTCTTTGACAAGAGCTCGGAGCAGATCCTGGCGACACTCAAGGGGCACTCCAAGAAGGTTACCAGTGTTGTCTTCCACCCATCTCAGGTGCGCTCAGGCCAGCGTTTGGGCTTTTCCATCACAACCAGATGGCCCTGTATCAGGCTTTTTGGGCCCTCTTCTGGTGCTCTGTTCTGGTGGGGTCTCCCCCTCATGGAGACTGATGATGGTGGCCAGTTCTTGCCTGTGGAAAGCTCTCTCAGATATTGGAGAGGTGCAAGTCTTTTGGTGTTAACTTTCCTGCCGTGGCCCTGTCTAGGACTTGGTGTTCTCGGCTTCTCCTGATGCTACTATCCGTATCTGGTCTGTGCCCAACGCCTCGTGCGTGCAAGTCGTCCGTGCCCATGAGGCCTCTGTGACGGGGCTGAGCCTCCACGCGACAGGCGACTACCTCCTCAGCTCTTCTGATGACCAGGTGAGACCCAGCCCCAGGCCACAGATTCCCCCCTTGCTGCTTCTCATCTCTCTGTCCTCAATGCGCTGTTCCTCTCTTCCAGTACTGGGCTTTCTCAGATATCCAGACAGGCCGTGTCCTCACCAAGGTGACAGATGAGAGCTCTGGCTGTGGTAAGGCTTACGGCTGAGTATCCCCACCCCGGGGGGCTGTTGCGAGCCTGGAGAGAAGGGATTTTTCTTCCTGTGAGTCTCTGGGCTCCTGGAGCTCAGAAGATCTCTGGAGGGGACCCTCCTAACAAAGTCAGAGGGTCTCCTCAACTGTCTAAATCTGCCCCTGTGTCTCTGCAGCTCTCACCTGTGCCCAGTTCCACCCGGATGGGCTCATTTTTGGAACAGGGACGATGGACTCTCAGATCAAGATCTGGGATCTGAAGGTAGGGCTGGCCCTGGGTGTGCCGGGCGGGGATGCCAGGGAGGCAGCATGGTGGGAGTGTGCTCGGTTTGGTGCCCAGCAGTGTGTTCAGTCCAAGCTGCGGCACTTTTATCTGCTGGAGTGGGACTTCAGGGAATCTCTTCTGAGGTTTTCCCCAAAAATGCAAAGTTTCAGCTCAGGAGTGGCCACTTCTGGTGCCATAGCTGGTGATCAGGGGGGGTTGTCTTGTGACAGGGAGGTGTTGGTGTTTGCTGTGTCCCCAAGAGAATTGTGAGGAACAGGAGGGTTTGCAGGCAGACTGCCTCGCTCCGCTGCGGGACGAGCCTGCGCTGGGTGTGTGTGGGCTGTGAATTTGTCAGCGCAGCCCCACGTTAGTGATGGGCTGTAGCTCCAGCGCAGGAGCAGCTCCGGCGGTTGGCAGGTCAGCTTCATAGTCCCACGTCGGCCTGTCGAGCCATAGTTAGGCGACAAAGAGCTCACGGAAGCGGCACGGTCTCTGTTCACCTGCCTGTGTGTTTTGACTCTGAAGCAAAGCAATGACACCGAGCCGAGCTGCGGTTACAAGGATCTGCTCTCTTGATCCGGCCGTGAGGGAGGGTGCTGTGGTTCCCTGCCTGTCTCTAACTGCCTTATCCCCAGGAACGCACCAACGTGGCCAACTTCCCGGGCCACTCGGGCCCCATCACCAGCATCGCCTTCTCTGAGAATGGCTACTCCCTGGCCACAGCAGCGGACGACTCCTCCGTCAAGCTCTGGGACTTACGTAAGCTCAAGAACTTCAAGACGTTGCAGCTGGACAATAACTTTGAGGTGTGTGACCATCCCCTTTTTTCCCTCCGATGGCTGGGCTGGCAAACTCCTCTCCCAGTATCCTCCATCCCAGGCCTGCTCCCAACTGTGCTTCTCTGCTTTGAGGGAGCCTGATGTCAAGTTGCTGTCCCACCCTGAACCCTGAGAGGGTGTTTGGAGCTTCCTGGGCCTGGTCTGAAGCCTCGTTCTCCTTCTCCTCTGCAGGTCAAGTCTCTCATCTTTGACCAGAGCGGCACCTACCTGGCCCTGGGCGGGACGGATGTCCAGATCTACATCTGCAAGCAATGGACGGAAATCCTCCACTTCACAGGTGAGGGGCTGGGGGCGGACAGAGGCGGGAGGGGAGACATGCAAGTTCCCTCCTGGGGAGAAGAAACACTCTCCTGCATCTGCAGAATGAGCTGTAGGGTGCAAAATGCTACCCACCCCGTCAGCACCTCTGCCTGCAGTGAGACTCTCCCGTGGCTGCGTGGAGGTGGCTTGGCGTCAGCAGGGAGCGGGCGGGGGGCTCACTCTGCTCGGTGCCGCTAACCACGGGCTGTCTTCCCTCCCCAGAGCACAGCGGCCTCACCACAGGGGTGGCTTTTGGCCACCA